CCCTCATTTTCGATTTCCAATCGCAAGAAACAGAGTTTTTGTCAATTCCGGAAAGGATAAAGAGAAATGTATTGGATCATCTATAGCAAACACGATGGCATATTTGCCTAGAAGCGACTGGTGATGCTGTTAAAGGAAAACTGGCACAAGAATTTCAGTCGCGAAACCAAGCAAGACACGTTTGCACAGACGCAACTGTTGATGCTTACCAACAGAATCTGTACTAGACGCGACTGTTGATGAATGAGGACAATTTATTAAAGACTCGACTGTTGATGTTGTTGGAACACTACGTAGCTCGCGTTCGAGAACTTTTTAGATGGAAAATTGATTCCTTTTGTGGATTGCACAAATAAATAAATGTTCGTATTTTTAATCATATTTTGCGATTCCAACTGAACGAGGTGTCACCCCGTATTCGATGCTGTCTTTATCAGCAGACGACTGCCCTCTCTTTCTCTCTATCTGCACTCTGTCTGCCTGTGTGTCTTTCTCTCCGTCTCCTATCACCTTCGCCCACTCCCTTGTTTCGGGGGAGCACTTGACTTCCGCTGAGGAACACAAAACGAAGCAAAATGTAAAATTTAAAGCGTGTAAAAATAAGTCAACTCGATAAAAACAGCGAAACGGAAGGTTTTATGTCGGCATGCTGATGTGGATATTTCGGTGTTTAATTCTTGTTCTTAATCTCGTTTTGTTTTCCATTTCGCTTGTGGTTTCAATGCGGTATCATACGGAACACGTATGCAAACACCATTTACCATTTTACAGTCGCCGCCCAAGGAGCAGGCCCACTTTTTGTGGCTTTTTCTTTATCGTTGGCAAACAAAGTTCCAATAAGCGATGACAAAAGACAAAGGGCAGGGCAGGGTGTGCACGAGTGCGGCTCTCGCGGTGTCAATTAGAGAGAAGGGGGGGGGGGCTGTGACGCCATGGCGGCTGCTCTAAGCACCGTTCAATAATTTTTCCAGCAGGTAGGCAAAAGGTAAGCGCTGTTTGCACGCACTCGCGGTAGTATGTGTGTGTGTTTATCTCAGTGTGTTTTTGTGTGGGATCTTGTTCGACTTGAAACAGAGGCCATACCCCCCACCCCTCCACAGATCCAGTGCCAGATTCGGATTTTAGAAACATGTACAGACACCCGCCACCCGCAAGTCGCCCCACCAGTTCGTACCGATTTTGTTTTTTCGCGATTGATTGCCAGTACGTCGGAGATCGGCCATAGCTTCCATAGCAATATGGGGAATGTAAATGGGGGAAAGGCGAGAGTGAAGGATAGATTGATTTGTTATTGACTTACCTTTGGATGACTCTGGCCCGATGGGGGCGGCGGTGGGGGGAACTGCAGAAGCGAGTTGCTGAGGCTGGAGCGCTTAAATCCGTTGCTGCTGGTGGGGCTGCTGCCGTGATTGCTACTGGCACCGCCGGAATTGTGGTGGTAATGGTGCTGCTGCTGTTGGTGCTGGTGGTGTCCGGTGGCTACGGATGTGGCGGCTGCTACTGCTGCGGCCACAACGTGCTGGAAGTGATGAGCTGTGTTGGCGGTGGTGAACGTGGCGGAATTCAAGTTCAAGGGACCGCCGGACTGGCGCTGGGACTGCAAAAACGTGCTGGCTGAGGTCTTTGAAGTTTGGGCTCCCTGGGCCGGGTGCTTGGGCAGCTGCTGCGACTCGGGCAGGGTCTCTAGGCCACCTGCGTTGGATGTGGTCCACACTGACATCTTGTCGAGATGTTGCAGATATTGCCAAACGGAGTGCCAGCGGCCTCAGCTATTGTCTTCGCAGAGAAATCCATTTTGCATGAATCAAATGTAAGGAAATCGATGTTAGTTGATGCAAGTAACAATGGCCGGTCGGGAAAAACACACGAGAAAACTATAATGTTTAAATTAAGTACGAATGGGACGGTCGGGGGTCGGTTTGAAGAGAGCAACTTAACAAACAAAAAATGCACACGGGAAAATTAAGTACTGTACGGCTTGTTTTGCTTTTTTGTTGTTGTTGTTTTCGTTGCATGAAATACACTAGCGCGTGATAAACAGTGTGACGGATTTATGGGTAAAATATACCGCCCGACCCTCAGAAATATACCGAAATATACCGTCTCATTACAAAAATATACCGTAAAATATAAATATAACGACGAATTATTAATATCACTCGATTTTGAAATTCGGTTTAATATTACTACCTAGCTCAGCGTACAGCACTACAAGACATAATTGTAAGTACTCTTTTTATTGGTTTACTGTTTGTTTACAAATAAAATCTGTTAAAGTTCCGCAAACTCCGGGAGTTCATGAACGAATTGTCGAACTGTGGCATGAACTTCGATGCCATTGACGAACTAACGGTCGATGATAGAGACATGGTCCTGATTACAACGAGATGATTCCTCATCGGGAGGGTGTACTTGACGAGATGATGGCTGATCATATCGTGTTGTTTGTTTTTATCTTTGAACTGGACACGCACCAAAAGAACTTCGAACAAATCTCGGACAGCTTCCATTAACTTTCCTTCCTTGGACTGAAGATACTGAAGCTCTTCCTGGAGAACGAGCCAAAAACCATAAAGAACAACACAAAACAAATCACATAAAAAAAAATCAGAAAAATTAAGAACAGAAAAAAAAACAAATTTCAATGGTCGAAATTTGGAGGCCTTACCAGTGACGCTGCCCCCATACGATGGCCGTGACGTCACTCCAACTTCAAGAAGTCAGCAGCCATCTCCAACGACGAGGCCAGCCGCTACAGCGACACTGGCCAACGAGCCAAAGCCAATACCATCGACAATGCATCCCGGGTGGCCGGACCAGCAGCCACTCGGATGCAGCCAATTCTCACGCTTCATTGGCATCACCGGGATAGCCCCGGTAATAGAACTCACTAGTGCGTAATTTTCGAACTGAACCTAAAGGAAACCTACTTAAATAGGTGATATATGATTATAATGACATATTGTGTATTGTCAGCTGTTTTGATGCTTTATACTTTGCCCACCAGACCGTCGGGAACACGTCCAGTTGAAATTTACAAAATTGAGATTTGAATTTAAGAAGCGCGGCATTGTCAGTGCTGTGCAAGATTAAATTAAAACAATCCAGTACTGGAAAAGCTGGCGATTTATATATAAATATACTCTTGGTACCATACCTTATTTATTTTAAATACAATATAATCATTTTACCTTATTTTTAACAAACTTTTTTTAATGTTTTAATTTTGACAGCGACAACGTCAAATTTTGACCCCATTTTCAAATCTTTTTTTTCTTGTTTTTTCACCTCGTTTTTCTCGACTCTTTTCACCTCAATTCAGTCGCTGAAATGCGGCACATGGCAGCACTGTCCGATAAGCTCCGATAAGCAGCCCGCGAAAACTCGTAATTAACGGAAATTTAATTTTTGATCACAGCAGCCGTTGAACTATAATGTTGATCTGATTTTTAAGGCATTTAAACTATTGAAAGTACTCAGGGCTCATTTTGTTTTCTTTCTAATGCTCACACCATCCATAATTTGTTTCTGCCAAAACCGGCTGCATCTTATTGACCGATAAAGCAATTAATCAACGCCCACACAGAAATAAATTAATTAAATTGTTTTTCAACACAATTTAAATGCATTCTTGTTTGTCCGGCTGTCTGTGCGTCTGCCCGTTGGTCTGTCTGCCCGCCAGCTGTGACACACATTTCAATTTTTCTCGAATTTGTTGTTTCTTGTGTTTTGCTTTGCAAATTTTCTTTCACATTATTCCGGGTGTGGGCGCAGTGGCAGCAGCAATAGCTTCGTGCCCCTCTTGCTGCACATATACCAAAATACATATATACTTATAATAAAATGCATCTCTTCTTATGGTTGGTGGCGCACCTTGAACTTGCATTTGTGTTATTGTACAACTGTACTACAGACACGCACATCCACATATCCATGTGTTTGCTCTTGGGCCCCCCCATGGTGGTAGAGGTGGCAATGGCTTTGCTTTCGCGGTTTCGGCCTCTTTGAGTGTTCTCTCTTTGCCTTGCTTTGCTTTGTCTGAGAATTAATTTGGCAAACAGCCTACCCGACAGCCCATACGAGTAGATAGGTACATAGATAGAGAGTCATGTGCCCCAGAACAGTTATCTATTGGATATTCCCCCACTCGCACACACATCCACACGATTCTCAATAAGTTATTGTGGCACTTTCAAGGCGTTACAAATGTGCGCAAACGCTATCGGTTATGTTATCAGTGGAGAAGCGGTTGTTTGTTTGGCGCACGGCAAAGGCCGTTTGGGGTCAAGTCAAGCAACCCAACCCCCAAACGTGTGCGGAATGAGGTAATGCCAATGCTAATGCCAAGGCATGCAGTGCTCCCGTGCTGGATTCCGGGTGCCAGTGGCGCAGTTTGCTTCGTCGTCAGGCCATGAATGTAAACAATTAGAGGCAATTGAAATCAATAAACGATCGCTGCACAGAATGTACATAATCCCTGCGCCCTGGGTCCACGTTCTTTTGGGTCTCGGCTCTCGGCTCCAAACCCTTGAGGTCCCAAAAGACGCCAAGTCATAGTCATCGGCTATTAATAAACCTTCTCTCAGAAATCTGACTGTCGATAACAATACACTCGTACAGAAATGCTGAGATATATTGTACGAGTACGTATGGAAATGCGATCGTGGAACCGTATCGCAAATGAATTTGTTCAACTACAAAATGAACAAACAGCGTACGGAAAGTGACGCTGATTTCTAATTTTAGGATTCCACTGGAGACACCAAGCTCTGTTAGAGTTGAAAGCGACCCATTCAGAGATTTGAAATGGAAAAGAGGTGTCTACAGGAATCGGCAAGAAACAGTTTTCTGAATCAAACCAAACAAATCAATGATTTTAAAGTCAAAATTGTAAAATCTTTTTACACAGAACACTTCTAGAAATGCACAATAATTCAGATAATATTTGATTGAGATGATTCCAATACAGAAAAACCTGTTTGAAGTACAAGACTTGCAGATACAATAAAATAAAATACAATTCTCTTTAATCCTTATTTAACTAGAGTTTACAATAGTTCACAAAAACATTGGTTCATCGATTGGTACAATAATACACAGCTAAGTACGCGGCATTTCTAAGGACTATGGACAAGATAAGACATCACAATGATCACATGTCCCCCCGCTGGGTTGCAAGTTTAAACGTAGAGCCCCCTATTTGGCTGACTAATAGTAGAAGATTATAATGGAATGGATTGGAATGGTGAGTCCTTCTGGCTTAGGCGAATCATCGTATTGGATGGTCGATGGAACCCATTGACTTCTTACGATGGTGGTTCACCTCGAAGCGTTCCATGATCTTGGCCACAATCGAGGAGGGCGGCATGTCCGGGTTGCCGATGAGTCCGCGATACCCCAGAACACTGGAGTCTGCCAAGGAACTGGCCAGGGTCAGTCTTTGAACAAACGCCTCCGTGTCGATGCCCGGCACCTGGGAGGGTTTCAGGAAGCGTTTCGGTATCCGCGACAGCATGTCCTCGGAGCCGACGGGACCGAAGCCCAGGTTGATGAGTATGGCCTCCGGATCCGGCTTGCGAGACTCCAGCAGGCTGTCCACGCTCGAGTACCGGCTGGAGTCCGACTGCACGGAGGCAGAGCTGTCCCTCAAGAGCAGGCTACTGAATCGGTGCTGGCGCTGGGCCTGCGGACTCAGCTCCGGTGCCGTGCTGCAAGAGTCGAAGGACTCCTCGTGGCGCAGGCAGCGACAGCGTCGCAGGCCGCTGCTCTTGCAGGAAATGGAGATGTGGCGCTGCAGGGCCATGCTCACATGGGCGGGGCTCTGCTGTTGCGCGAAGTGGCTGGGCAAGTGTGGCAAGGCGTCCAGGCTGGTCTTGTCCTGGTCGTTTTCGATGTCTTGGTCGTGGTCGGCATTCTCCTCTAGATCGGCGGCATATGCGCAATCGCACTCCAGGTCGTCCACATCGACGGCCGACTGCTGGCGCTGCAGCTTTTTGCGCTTGCGCAACGGCTTGTTAGGCGGAAAGTGATCCGCGGAGCTGGCACAGATGCTCAGCGGCAGGTTGTCGCTGCTGCCGGCGTGGGCCTTCGGCTGAGGCACCTCCTTGGACCCGGCTATTGCTGCCCCTCCGGCCGCTATAGCCAGTGCCGCTCCCGGCCCTACTCTGGCCTCGAAATTGCTGCAGCTGTGAGAGCGTTCCATGGCCGCACTACGTACGAGTATGTTGGTGGTACGAGTGTGTGGTGAATGTAGGTCTGGTCTCCACTTAACGCGGTTTGGTGTCTCGGTCACGGCTGCTCAGGTTACGTTACAACAGCAACTGGTCCGACAGGCAGCCCCTGCTCATATTTGGTAAGAGTCAGAATCAGGGTTAGTCCCAAAACAGCCACACAGACTGGGGCGCGATCTGTTGATCTGTTGGAGCTGTACGTCTGGTGTCTCCCTGCGATTTGATATTCTCCGATTAACGTATAATGCGTACGCGTGTTCAGCCACAAAAGCGACAACAATTTGTGTTATTTGTTGCCGTTTATGCGCTTTTTGTGGAAACGTGTTTTTCTATATTCCGCGTATTTTTTCCCTCTGCTTCTTGATTCCGATTTCGCTTTTGTTAATTTGCCGTTTTCGTTGTTTACTTATTTATTTGTTTGCGTTTGCTTTGCGCTCATTAGAGCCGGAGATGGAGTGTTAATCAGTCGTAGCGCTCTCCTGACCCCGGATTCCGAGTGATCGCGATCCACTTGACATTGATATTGGAATCGAACGGAATGGATGCGATCGCTCGAATATAGGAATTCAAAATGAAATTCGAATGGGATGCGTTTTTCTCCTGCACTGCACTTTGGCTCCACTCCACACACTCTCTTCCTTGTGCCACTGGGAGGCGGCTGCCGATGTGATTGCACAGCTTGGTTTATTTAATTATATTTATTTATGTATTAAGTACACAAATTAATCATATACAGTCAACTGTTCCGTAGTGTGGTGTTTATTCGTGGATCGCTCGCACGCTCGCTCGCTCGCTGGCTCTCTCTCGCGTCCGCCTCGCACAAAGTGATCTTCAAAAATGAAACTGAAATCACAATTCCCCATCGGAACGCCCCAGCCCAGTCGAACCGAAGCCCAGAGCCAGAGCTTTCGCAGCGGAGTGCGACAGAGGGAGAACCGAAGGGGGTGAGAGAGCTCCACTCTCTCTCGCCTGAGCTCCACTCACACCACTCTCTCTCTCTCTCTTTCTGTCTCTTGTTGCTGTAATTATTTTGCGGGCCAGTCGGCAATTTCCTCAAGCACGACAACGACGCCAATCTATTAAACTTTTGATTAAAAGCACACAGAATAGAGCGCTTTGCGGTTAACCCAGCTCTGGCTCTGGCTCCGGCTCCGAGTCGTCCTCTCTCTCGCTCGCTTTTTGTCTCACTCTCGTCGGGGAAAAACCTTCGTGCACTCACTTGATGGGCATTTTCTATACCCAATACCTGTACAGTACCTGTAGGGTATATTGGGCACTATGCTATGGCAGATATTCGAATTAGAGCAGCACAACATTTGTATTCTTATGTGCTTCAATGGGGCCCGCGGAAAGTTTACCTTAATATTTGTCTAGGTGTTTTATCTTCAATTCGAATGCTCTTAGTCATGTTTCTTCAAGGGGATTTTATATGAAGCTATTGTCTGTCTATTACATAAAAATCATCACGATCGGAGCCAGATAGAGAGACGACATTGAAAGGAAAGGGTTTATCCAGTAAATTTAAAAAGGTATAGAAGATAGTGGATATGATTCTGTGGTTTTTTGTATCTTTTTATGCTTCTCTCGCACGATAAGAAGTCATCTCTGGTATTGTTTGCACGTTCCCGGCGTATTTGGTTAATTAAATGCTTTTTACGGCTCGCTGATTCCGGACAGCCCTTAAACTGCCGATCATTAAGCTATTGAGGTCATAAGATCTCTTTATCTAATTGCTGCGAGAGATTCGGATGATCAGATGATACCTGGAAAACTTTATGGCCCAGGGTGACGACTTGTGTAATCAATGGAGACTTTTGATGTTGCCCCTGTTTACTGATACCCCGCCCGGCTCCCGCCCCGACCGTTTTCGGTCCAGACAGATGCATGCGGAAGAGTCGGGCAGCAGGTAAACACAAACAAGGGAAATTCTTAAACCCGTTCCACGGTGCCAAAGCTCTCGCGGAAGCTCGACGAGCGTCTGCTCTGCCCACAGCTGATTGTATTGCGAGTGCAGCTTTCGCCGAGGCGAGCTTACGGGCTTCGTCTCTCCCTCTCCGGAGAATGCGAGAAATGCATACCCACTGATACCTGCCTCGATATCCGCCCCACCATCGTATCTTCCAGCCACCGATTTGCGGATACTGTTGCGCGGGACGAGTAATGATACTTTTGATAATTTAACCTGCTGCCGTCACAGTTCGCTCAGGCAACCCGCCTGCGATCAAACCCCTGAGAAAAGGTTGTATCAACAGGTATCTTGAGGCCAAGACTCAGACGAAGGTCCAAGTGTAACAAACAGCTGGCAAACAGGCGCAGAGCCAATTTACACAAGTCTTCAAAATTGTCTACAGATACGAGTACGGTACGAGTACAAGTACCAAGGGCAGGCACTTTTCACGGGTCCATAAATCCACGCCACGAGCGATGAATCACGATCATCGTTTCGGGCTAACTTTGTTTTGTTTAATTTGTTATGCATTCTAAGTTAATTTGCAAGCTCCGTATCAGAGGGGCGGGGGCGGGGGTAGGCGGGTAGGTGGGGGGAGGAGTCAACGTTGTGCAATTAATCCTCTATTGCTGTTGGAGTAAGTAACTAATTTTTAATGAATGTTTGAATATGATCGCAGTTGGCGGCAATGGGATTGTATCATTGCTAGGAAATGGCTTTAAATAAAAAAGGGGAGAAATAGCAATGCCGTCTTGGGCACGAGGCAGAACTTTGTTCAAGATCTAATGGGCCAGCCCCAGTCCCGATCAAAGGCAAATTTAGATAAGGGAAGGCAGAAGTTTTGACATGCTCCGATCCAGAGATTAGCAATTAATTCGATTTAATTACGGAACAATCTGAGTTCGCTTTATTTTCCCAGAGAATCCCTTGCATCTAATCCATAATTTCGTGATGCAAGCGATATGGAACAGCACGGAAGGTACCAGAGCCCACAGCGAGCAGAACTCTCTTCAGAACAATGACAGTTATTACAGTTACAGTGACACAATGCGCAAATACCAGGAAAAAGTACAAAGGTGGCGTGTCAGAAGGTCACCCTATAACTAACAGTATCAAGGCCCTGTTTCTTCTCGGGCTCTATAATGGTCTGTTCTGTACTGTTCTGTTCTGTTCTGTTCTGTTGTGATCTGTTCTGGCAATGGCACGCGCGCCCTTTTCAATTGATTGTAATTGGCTTCGAGTACTTGCACAAGTTGTGGATACTGTAGATATTGTATATATTGTACATACATATGTTGAATTCCAGCGAAAGTGTAACTGTCAATTGGATTTTTAAGTAGCTTGGAATTGAAAATGTAATGTGCATCTGATTGGAGAATGGTGTTTGCAATTGGAAAGGTAAAGGAAAAGGGAAAGGCAATCCGAATGGGATGACTGTAAATCTCACCTGTGTTCGTACCGCCTGTAACGCCGCACCGTGTCTGCACAAGTGTGTAACTTGATTAGCTTTAGATGATTAAATTATTGTTTATTGTTACAGCTCGATATGTAGAATAACGATACGCTTTAGTTGGCTAACATGGATTGTTGTTTGGCTTCCAGCTAATGCACTTTCTACGGGTATGGTATGCCGCCGCCTTCAACCCGACACTTTCTAAACAAGCTTACGAGTTCTGTAACTGCAGCAGCAGCAAACAAACAGCAAACACACACAGAAAACCCACGACCGGCACAGAGCAGACGAGACAGGTAACTGGCTGGCTGGCTGGCTGGCTGGCTGGCTGGCTTCACTGGGAGCTTGTCACTCTTTTCGGAACCGGGAATGAACGAGCTGCTTATGCATGGTATGGTCTCTTCGTTATCTCCGCTGACATTAGGAGATCATCTTTATCTCTGTACTCGTGTATGTGGGTATAGTTCCTCACTGAGACACGGGCAGAGGCACAGGCACAGGTCCCGTCGCGTCCGTCATCCGTTCGTTCTCCGCGATGTGCTGTTCTGATTATTTTAGTGTAGTCAACGGGCAGGCCAAATATTTGCACATGGTTTGTTGTGCAAATGAGATACTAAGCCGCGTCGGAGGGGGAGGTACCGGTGCCCGCAAGAAATCAGTTGCGATGCTTAGCAATATGCAAAAACTACAATAAATTGTATGCACATATATAAGTGCGAGATCCGTAGAGTACAAGAATGACACACACGCAAAAATAAGAACAAAACAAGAACCAAAAAAAACACTATTTTACGAACAGCCAAGCACCGCGCACACGTTCGTCCATCGCCGAGAGCTGTGAATGAATGGACGGAGTGGCAGAGCAGAGCCAACGTAAATAAACGCCGGTGCCGCTGCCGCTGCCGCTAACGCTGCTGACGCCGCTGCTGCTGCTGCCGCCGATGCTGTTGCCATTTGTTACAACAAACATTACAACACTTGGGCAACAAAAAACTAAAATGCAACATTTATTTTACATACCATTACGAAAAATGGAAACCACCAACAAAAAGACGACTGCCTCAACCCGCAGCAGCAGACTTAAAGGCAGAGGCAGCGCAGCTGGCGTCGACGGCTGCAACAATGCACTTCTATTAATTAAAAACACTGTGCAACAAAATCAAACTTTTGCTTTTGCATTAGTGGTTTCAACTTCAAAACGGCTTTCAATGCCTTCTAAATATCATATCGTATTTGTTGTAAAACCATCCTGATTCATTAGGTCTTTCGATTCGCTCGATGTTATTAAATTTCATAGTCACCCTAACTGTGTGCACGATGATGCACGTCATCTTTAATCTCTGGTTCTGCGGATACATTGATTCCATTGAACGGTTGGACAAAAAGGAAACGAAACTGTAAGGAAGGGTTTATGTTTTTTCTGTTAGTTAACAGTAGATGGAAGGGGATCTCGATCTCCAGGCCTTTCCAATCAACCAATATATAGATTTCGATAACAATAACATGCCTTCTAGTATAGTTCAATCGGCTGTAGAGCGAACAACGAAATACGAAAACATACTTTGTTTTTATATTTATTAATTATAAAACTAACACAACAACACGATGAAGAAAAATTATCTAGTGTTTGTTGGCATCGGCTGCCTAATTAGCGTAAGTTTTCCGTTCAAAGCCATTCGCGTGTATCCAAGACGGTTTGTAATTCCAGGTGATGCCTTTTATTGTGCATGCTATGCCCCCTCTCCTGAGTGGTAAAAACAACAACAACAAAAACAACAACAACAACAGCCTGGACAAGTCTGGGTCACACTTACGCACCCAGTCGTGGGTTTCCAACGCCATCCAACTGGAAATGATGTCAACCAAATCCACGGGGGGGACAGCCAGAGATCTGGTGGTGGCCTCCAATATCTCTGGATATGGTGGACAAACAAATAATACCGAGTCTGACGATGGGATCATTCGACTATTTCCTGTAGCTTTCCAGGAGGACCATCAATCAGGCACAAAGTTGCCTGCAGTTCGTGCAGCCTTCCAGGAGGACCATAAATCAGGCACGAGGTTACCTGAACCCCAAACCATTAAGAAACCTGACCAAAGAGTTGGGCCCAAAAATGACGATCATACCAGAAATAGTACCAATAATATTACGAGAACTAGTATTAGTCAGAAAGAAACTGACGCTAAAATAGCTCCTGATGCTGTCAAAAAAATGTTTAGGGTTGAGGAAACCACCGACAGTTGGCCAGTGAATCCTTGGGGCGGCCTTAATTTCAAGGACCTTCTAAAAGCCCCCCAACTAAAACAAAAAAGGTCCAGAACAGTAGCTGGCACATGGGCACCAGGCACCGCCGGCTATTACTCGACTATTTATTGGTGGTATCCCGTTCTAACCGATAACCCCAACTGGAAATATATACCAGACCGTGTCGGGGTTACTCAGGTATGCCGGGGCAAGTCCACCCTCTACAACGTCCCCAGAGTATACGACTGGCTAAAGGTGCGAGTCCGCAATAAGACGTTTAACGAGCGACCCATCTTTATGCCACTCAGAAAGGAGCTCTATACGTTTGGCTTGTCCGAGATGTGCCACACCAACGATACCAGAGAGTGGTCCGACTACATTAACTGCGCCATTATGCGGAACATGCGGATGGAGTACATGATACCAAAGTATCCGTTGCACCAGATCAGCTATTTCTATCGCGACTACCACGGAGCTACCATGTTCCAACAGGGGCATTTCTCTACACACGCACCAGGTTTTGGTGGCAAATAAGTTTATGCCAATGGTTGGTCACCTCATTGTTACAAATATACATAAATAGTTAAATACGTAAGATGTTTATTATTTCTATTTTTATTGTGGATTTACCACCGATGGGAGAATCTCACCTCCATAAAGGATATACAGGCTACAAAAAAATTCTCAACCTAGTGCTGGGAAGGGGCACAGCAAGTGGCGGCACAGAATATTCTTGCCATGGTCGGATTATCGGGGCTTTTGTGGGGGCCCATTCCAATTCCAAAAACCCCAAGGACGTAGACACTTTGATAGCAGTTATTTGAATAAGAACACACTGGATACAGCAAAGGAATCATACATACTCGTATGCATTTCCTTCAGCAAACTAAACTCACGTGGAAGCATTCACAGAAGCATAATTGCTTTACTTTTTGTTCTTTATTTAAATTTTGTGTATTCATTATAATTATATTGTACAATTTGTTTTATTTTGTTCGTTTGTCATTCTCAAGTTGGACATTTGCCTCTCACACGATCCATGGAGTGCGTACCACTTGTTCTCAGTTTCAGTTTCAGTTTGATTTTCACTTTTTTTTGTTGGTTTTTTGCTTTTCTATTTTTCGCGGAATCGTTTCCAACAGTAACAAAAAATAAATTATTGGCTTTTAAAATATATGTGTATGTGTTTGTATACAATATATAGAAAGAGCATAGAACTTAGGGGTTACAATAAACTAAACATAAAGATTTATAACATTCCGGCAAGATTTTCGATTGTTCTTCATCATTTCATATCATATCGTATCGTATCATATCATATCATATCATATCATCTGATCGCGTATCATTTAATATAATATTGTATAATCTTGAATAGAGTACAGTACGTTTAGAATTAAGTGCTAAAACTAAAAACAAATTGTGATGTACAACACCTCGACTGTCGTGGGGAAAAGACGGGAATTCGAATTCTGATTGCGATTCCGATTACCCTGTAAACTCCCATAGACAGTCAAAGTCAAAGAAGTAGAAAGAGAGCATTGTAAGGGGGGTTTGAGGAGGGAGGACGAGGGACGAGGGTGAGAGAGTGGAGTACAAATAGCAGTAGCAATGGAAGTGGAAGGGGGATTACAATTAATAAACAAATAATAATAATATTGAGCATTGAACGCGTACTGTTCAGAGTGGTAGCAATCGATGCGGAGTATTCGTGGCACCAGGCAGGTCGGTCGCAATCCCCCTGCCTGGATTGTGCCTAGATTGGATTGTACGCAAAACATTTCGTTAATTAAATTAAACTGTTAATTATGGCAAACAAAGATTGTAAACGCATTCGCATGCTATGCGATATACTATTCCTACATACATATGTATATAAACATACATATGTGTGTCTGTATGTATACATATATATCTGTAACTGTGTATCTCTTTATATATAATCGAATGTCGGTTATTGCATGGTGCTACAATCGGATCTTGCTTTCTTTCATTCCATTCTTGAGTTTTGAATCAACTTTCACGAGTTTCTCGAGATTGTTCTTTTTTCTTTTTAGATATTTTTGTTTGTTTTACAACAAATGCACACAAATTTGCTTCAACGTGTTTTTTTTGTTTGTTTTTTGTGGTTTTGTTTCGATATTGTTTTGCCTTATCTGGGACTTAACTACGATTTTTATCAACATGTTTTATTGCAGAGTGTACTTATCGCTATGTGTATCCCTAAAGTTACGGATAGTTATGCTTTCTTTTCTTTTGGACAATGTCAAAGTAATTTTCGCTTCAAATTTCTATTCCTTTTTTTTCTTTTCTTTCAGAGATCCTAATTATATATAACATAACAGAGTGGGCCGGATAGTAGAGGGAAGGTAACGGGTAACGAGTTACGAGATTTGGAAACAGAAATATAGAACAAACGATTGGTTTTTTGCTTTTGTTTTTTTGTTTTTGTGTGGGCTTATCCAAAAATAATTGTACAATTTATATTCAACAAGTAAACGCTTAAGACAAACATACATACATGTATCTCTAGGGTGTGTTTATATATAGAATTAAAGGTTCTAAAAGATAGATTCTGTAACTCTTACTTGCCCTGGACCTAAGGTCTAAGCATAAGCAGGGGAGCGGAAGCGAAACTTATGTGCTACTGGACAGACAGCTTTTGCACTCCATACACACATACATACGAGTGTATGTATAGTATATCTATATAGACTCGATATATATCAATATATATGGTACTATATACGCATAAATACACATTACGATTATGATTAGGGCTTAGACAATATTACAATATCTATAAACATAGCGAGAATTTCAAATTTGATCAAAAAATTTTCAGTAATCTCATTGTTGCTAAATCTAAATCGAATTTTATGCATATGTCTATATGTTTATGTATATTTATATGGTTATGTATGTATTGTATTAGCATTTCTATATATCCATCCATTTTTGTAGCAACTTGGATGGGCTCTGGCTCCACATTACAACTACACTACGATTTAGGCTTAGGCTCTATGGAAAATGGCTTATTGAAACAACTTGTGTGTGTGTGTGTTGTTGGCAAAAATTGTGTCCATATTTTTGTGTATTGTGAGTGGATGCTCCTGCTACTGGTTGGGCAGCTCCGTCAGCGTCACATCGTACAGATCGTCCTCGATCTGCTGCACCTCCAGCAAGAAGATGTCCTCATTGCAGTAGAACGATATCATATCATCGTCAATTTTCGCAGTAATCCTGCAACGAAAGCATTGGCAAAAACACACGGTTAGCCCTTGGTTTCGGATAGTTCAGGGATTCAGATAACGATAGAGATCAGTAGGGACAACGACAACACCCATGCAAATACTTGATTGGTTAGCACACGACAAACAGGGTGAGAAGTGCGGGGTTAGATGATCTTTGGGGTAGCGGGGGAGTTCTGATTCCTGGTGCACTTGCACTCTGTGTGTGTGTGTGTGTCTGTGGCTGTGTCTGTGCATGTGTGTGTGTGCAGTAGCACTCTGATCCGTTAAGACTTGCTACTTACCCCTTCTTGTTTGTGCGATAAATGTTATTTATGCTCGTTGTTGAGATTTTGTATTTGTTTTCAATCTGCAATTGAGAAACGAGAGAAATATGATGTTTTGTTTTGTCTTTTGTTTGTGTGGATTTTTTGTTGCTGCTCTGCTCTGCTCTCTCTCTAAACTAAACCAAACTCAACTAAACGAAAATATTTCTCTTATAACTCGTTTTTCTCTGTGTAATTTTGTTCATTTTGCGTCCAGCCAGTGCCAATCTTTCGAATGATCTGTGTGTGTATAATATCTGCATTTTCTGTCTGATCTGATTGCAGTACATTTCGTGCTCTTTGTGTGTGGTTTATCGTGTGTGTGGAGGATCGGGATCTTGACTGTGATCCTGTTTTTGGCAGTAGTATACATACACTATATATACGAGTGAATATATAGACATATTTTGGATGAGATGTTCATTTTTTGATTATGGAATGATTCGGAATTAGTTTCAACTACAAGTTATACAAATTAACGATTTTCGATTCTTGGTATTAGGGTGATTATATATATATATATACATACATATATAGTATATATAGCGATATAGATATTGATGTGGCTGATTTTTAGTTGATTTATGCTTTAGTCGATTAGACGTTTGTTTAGAGATTGAACATTTTGGCTCTTCGTTTCATAGCTTTTCTTTTGATTTTGCTTTCTTTTTCTTTTCGTTTTTTGTTCTCTTCTCCACCAATTAGACCAAAATGAACAAAATTACAGAAAAATTTGGTTATAATCAATTAGATCGAGTTTAGGTTGGATCGGTAGCAGGATATACTATATGTGGGTATGGTAGCAGGGACTCTGGGGCTCTTGGGGGCGACTGCTTACCGCATTCAGCAGGCCAATTGTGGTGGGGGGAACCACATGCAGCGGGGTGTACACCTCCTCGTTCTCCTGCCGCACGTAGAGCATCACGCGCTCCGAGGTTGGCGGCGTCATGCGTCCCCGCTTCATGGGCGGACCGAAGTCGGTCATGGGTGTGCTGGTCATAATGTTCTGGTCCAGTATGTGATCCTTTTTATCGCTGCAGAGGGAGATAGAGATAGACATAGATTAGTTTGGGTCCTTCGCTTAGGGGAGATCCGGGGCGGAGATCATGGATGGACGATTTTTACTCACGTCTGCATGTCGGGCGGAAAGTGATTGTGGAACTTGAGCGTCGGCGTGGCCACCTTCTGGCCGTGGAGCAGGAACGGCGAGGCCCCCTTCAGGTCCGGCGAGTCAGTCTCATGGCCGTAGAAGCTCTGCAAGGGCGAATTCGAGTTGGAGTTGCAGTTCGAGTTCGAGTTCGTATTCGTATTCGTGTGCGTATTCGTATTCGTGTGGATGAATGTCAAGCCAGTCAGGCCCGGCTGACCTACCTTCTCCATGTCCTCGGCGGGCGAGAAGAGCACCGGCGGCTTGGCAAAGTCCTGCATGCCATAGAACTCGGACCGATCTGTCACCGGATGGTAGAGCTCATCCAGCTTCTTTCTGCCGGTGGCCGTCATCTTCCGCTTGGCGGCCCGTCGCTCCTCATCGCGCGTTTTGCGCTCGGCGCCCTGCAATCCCAGAAAATCAGAAATCAAGTAAATGAGATCCATGAGCATCCATGTGGCATGTGGCATGTGGTATATTCGTATGTATGTTATGGCGTACCCATCCAGGTGGGTTGCGAAAGTTCGCCCAGGTGCACAGAGCCAGCGTGTAATTAGCAATCAATCAAACGCATGGATGCCACCTTTTTTGATATTTCTTTGCTTATTAATTAAATTCGTGTATGGCTGCAAGTGCCATAAGCTGCCTGCTGGCTGGGGGCTGCCTCCCTGCCACAGTCCCTGCCACTGCCCCTGCCGCTGCCTCTCCGTTGCAATTGCAAAAAGCAGAAAACAAGTTTCCCGCCTGGGGAGCTCTGTTGTCGCACAGAGACAAAGCCGCCACCGCAGCACCAACAAGTGGCAGAGGCACAGACTCACGGACTGCGGCTGGATCGGAGTCCGTATCCGAGTCTGAATCCGAGTCCCAGTCGCAGTCGCAGTCGCAGGCCGTGGAGGCATTTGGCAAAATGGTCTACACCGTTAGGGTCAGAGAGCCGAAAAAAATGGGGGGAAAATTATTATAAAATACTTAGAGATTCCACATAAATATGCATACATAATAAATAATCTGGCGGCGCCTCGAACCATGCAGCAGAGCCAGCACAGCACAGCATCGCAGTCGAGTCGGTCTCTGTGTCTGTGTCTGTGTCTGCGTCTGCGTCTGCGGCCCACCTGCCCCATTGAGTATGTGGCTGTTGTTGCTGCTGCCTGATTGCACAGACACACACACACACATACTCACACTAATAGATACTTTATGCATCTGTGTGTGCTTTTGAGATATAGTCTGGTGGCTACTTTGTCCGGCCGTGATTGCTGGTTTGCGTGTGCAGGCAGCAGATGCAGCATTCAGCTCGCCTCCTGCCTCCTGCCTACTGCCTCCTGCCCCATGTTGCACTTTGCATTTGTAATTAAAAATCAGCAATTGAGCGATGGAAGCCTCCGCCGCTGATGGTGCTGCATGCTGCAGGGGCTGGTGGCACCGGGCAGTGGCAGGAAGTGATATGCGGCAGCAATCTGCTCTCGTCTGCCTCTGCGGCAGCAACTTCTGAATGGCGACCACATTATGCAAGGATGTATACGTCGTCTCCAGTCCACCCCTCCCTCCGATCGGAGTTCTTTCGTCTTGCGCTTATCAAAAACCATTTTAGCCTAGAGCAATGCATTCGATGTACATCATTCGCCCATGTGTGTTGCACGTAAGCATGTGCCTGTGTGTCCGTGTGTCTGTGTGTGCGGCATGTAAATAACTGTATTTTATTACTTTTATTTTATCTTGGCAAAAATATCGCCAAAGTTGCGCAGGCTGCAACGGCCAGCGGACTAAGGCGACGGCGTCTCGAATCGCCCAATGCGGTCAATGTTCGCCTTTTGCCTGGCCTCCTCTACATCCCCATTCCCATCCTCATCCTCATCCTCGTCCTCGTCTCCAGCTTCTTCTGCCCCATCTTGTGTTTCAGCTCTCACCGCCTTCCCTTCTTGGGGATGGCTTGCTTGCTGTTAATCGACTTCAAAGTATGGCCAAGACATGGGACACACACACTACCACTGTGGGCCGCCACTCAGCGCAGAGGCGGTGCAACATTACCATTAACGTTAGCATTAGCATTAGGATTAGCTCAATCATTTCAGGGAAATACGTTAAATATAGAGAGGAATGCTATAGAGCGGATAATGACAGGCGGAAGATCCCCAATAGTTGGATCCAGAATCAGTATTTTGTCACCAGATTCGCCAAAGAAAGATTTGCCCTGGCCAAGAGATCAGAAGAATTGTATCCTCCCAAACGCTATCCACAGCTAAATCTATCTCAAAATCAAACCATAAACTCTCTCCAAAAATTAAACCGAACCCCAAAATACAGTTATTCTGAGGGGCGAAGCTTTCATTGGACATGTGCAGAATTTCCCATAATTTCGTATCTTCTGGGGACCAGGACAGGGACAGGGACAGGGGCAGGGGCTGGGGCTGGGCGGCCCAAGGCGTGCGTAAAGATCCATAATTGGAGGCCCTGGACCTGGACCTGGCCCAAAGGTGCCAAACGATGGAACTGCAACTGAAACTGCAATTGCAGTGAAATCAAAAAACCCACAGAGAAAAGAAAATACGAAATATGGGATGCATTTGGGTATTGCGGATCGGGATGGGGATGGGGGGAGGTAGAGGTATGCCACAAGGAAGGGCACAAAATAACGTGGTACGCGAAATTTAATTGATACATTTACCGATAAACACACGCTGGCCGGCTGGCTGGCTGGCTTGCTGGCTGGCAAAGGCAAAGGGCTGGCCCCAATGCGAAATATAAGCCCGACGTGATAGCGATACCCCGATTGAGGGTCCAGGTCCCAGCCGTACAGCAGTGCAACAGTGTGGCATACAACAAAAGGCAGTGCCCAGGCCCATGTCCAGTCGGATGAGGGATGGGGGATGGAGGATGAATGGAGGATGGGGAGAGCGACCACGGAGAAGTGTAATGATATGAGAAAATTAAATTGGAAATCCACGAAATGATTTATTAATAAACCCCATCAAGCGAAAAAGTGAAGGGTTCGCATAAGGTAAAGGTAACAGCAGCAGCAGCAGCAGCGGCAGCGAAACAAGGGCATGGATGTGGATGTGGCAGGGAAAGGATGCCGCACTCAAGCGTCAGTATGTGTGTGTGTGTGTGTGTGTGTTGGGCCATTTACTTTTGTACGCGTTACGCTTTCCACTAAAGGCTTCGCTGACTGACGGACAGGAGTGTCCGATCCGAGACCGAGACCGAGCCCCAAGCTATGTCAGCATCGTTGGTGCCCCCAATTCGATAAAAGTCGGATGCGGCAGCAGAAGCAGAAGCAGAAGCAGCGGCATCAGCAGCAAGTGGCAGGCACAGATACACACACGCACACACTGAACCAGCACGTAGGCAGCTTTTAGTTAGCTCATCAACCTGTTGCACGTGGCAGAGGCACAGTCACAGTCACAGCCACTGCTTCTGTATGCGTAATTATGTGAGCAGGGGGGCAGTGGGGCAGTGGGGGGCTACGAATGGCAGGGATTGGGAGAGAGACTCTGTTGCGAAATAAAATCACTTACCTTATCGCAGAAGACCTTTATCTGACAGTAGCCCCGGTGGAAGACGGCCGCATCTCTGGGGTCCTCGAATGTGTCGATTTGTACGTGCAGCGGCAGGCCCTGGAACCGAGAGAGGGAGAGGGAGAGCAGAAGAGAAACATAAACAGGGATTCGTATTAATATCACACACATTCAAATTGCAATAGCTAGGTGGGGCAGGAGGCAGGGGCAAGCAGGAGACTGGAGCAGCAGCAGCAGCAACCTTGCAACAGCTGCAATTAGCCGTTGTCATTTGGGCTTTGGGGCGTTGCCGGAGCAGTTGGGGCGTGGCCCAGTGATGTTAAACTGCCAACATCCGTTGCATGTGTGTGCAACATATTGTGGCAAGTGCATAATTTGATTTGGCTATTGCCTACACAAATACACATGGAGGCTGCGACTGCGACTGGGGCTGGGGCTGGGGCTGCCAGCGCTGCTCTACCTTCTTCCAGCGCTCTTTTTTTTTTAATGAAAAGCAACGAGACTCCGTCCCAGTCTCCTTCTTCTCCTGCCTTGGCCTGTGTTTCTGTCAATGAAATATCAGACTTAATGTACGCATTACAACCAGAGAAGCCAGGAGGATGCCCGTGCCCATGCCCATGCCCATGCCCCCTCTACGAAGGAGGAGGGGACACGAAGGCAAAGAGAAATCCTCTTCCTACGTAGCCGTTCGCCTGCTGGAGGAGCAGAAACGAAGACGGTGACGGAGATGGAGCTGGAGATGGAGCTGAAGCTGGAGACAGGGGCAACGCATCTGAGCTGAATGCTGATCTTCTTTTGCTGGCCTGCTCTGCTTCTCTGGCCGCATTGATTCTCCATTAACAAGTTGGCATTAAATTGGTTATTACTTAACCCATCGCTGGCCAACATTCTCGACTCGCCTCGAACTGAATTTCATTTACACAAAAGATGCGACGGACGTGCAGATCGCATCAGTAGCTAATTAATCGATAATTGCTGTATCGATTTATGATTACCATATATATCGTTGAGTATTTAATTGAGGCTGGGGCGGTATATTTATACTGAAACACCAAAGGGTCAAACTAGCCCCCAAAAAAAAACGAGCTTTCACTTTGTACGAAACTATACAGAGGACCAACAAATTCACAAAAAATGAAGCTTTTTAAGAGTCTTCACCTATCACCCCTTTGTTTTTTTTGGTTTTCGTTTTGTTGAAGAGTTTTACTCACCTTGACTCCTTTTTGACTGCTGAAATCCGTGCTCAGGCACTGCACCGCAATGTTGATCTGTTTTTAAAGAGAGAGAAAAATGCCATAAAATATACAAATGTAAACAATTATGAACATAAAAAGAAATTATCGGATGACAAAAAAAAAAGACGCTGAAACAAAAACAGCTAAAAATGCTTCGTCCGCTATTAGAAGGCAATTGTTTTCTCTCTATTAAGTCGATGTCCTCTTTATGCCCACGACAGTTTAAAACATTCCAATCCACACAAACACACCCATACGCATACGCATACGCATACTCTCGAATACGCTGAAAGGGGGTGGGGGGGAGAAAAGACAATAACAAGGCAATACTCAGAGGACCATCATCAGGCACCATTCCATCGATGGCGCGGACCAGAGGCCCCTCAGAGCCAAGTAACGAGGCAGAGCCGGGCCAAGTCGAGACTTTGTATCGCATCGCATCCAATTCATTTTTAGTTTGACTTCGATTCAGTGCGTATCGGTGTGCATGTCTGTGTCTGTGTGTGTCTGTGTATGTGTGTGTGTGTGTGTGTCTCTGAAGGCATTTTAAGCATGCCAGTCCAAGTCGGAGAGTTCGAGTCCAAGTCCGAGTTTGAGTTTGAGTTCGACTCCAGATGAGCCGCGGACGGAGCCGCAGACAGACAGACCCAAAGACGGAGTGAGACAACGAGAGACGGAGACAGACACACGGACGGAGAGACAGTCGGACAATGTGCACGCGTAAAAAAAAAAAAGAAAATCCATCAACGCAAAAATACCAAAGGAAACAATCTTAATGGTAAAAGTGCAGCAGTCGCAGAGTTGCAGCCTCCACGGCTACGACGACGTCCACGACGAGACCACGACGAAGATGTGGACGAGCAGTATTTAATGTGAATAATTAGCGGGCGCGTACCATATACGAGGAGACGCATGACAGTGGAGAGCGCAGAGCACAGAGCAGCAGAGAGCAGAGTGCAGCAGCAGCAGCGGCGAGGTGAGGGGAGGGGAGGGGAGCAAACGAAGCACCTGCGTGTCGGTGCGTACGAAAGTTTTGCCGCTGGGAAAGGCATTGCCAACAGAGACGCAAACGCAGACAGAGAGACGAGACGAGACGGGACGAAACGAAACGAAACGCACACGAATGCAGCTGGCGAGCTGCAGCAGCTAACGGCATAAAACGAAATCGACATTATGCGAAGACGAAACGAGACGAGGCGAGACTCTCTCTCTCTCTCTCTCTCTCCCTCTCTCTCTCTGTGACTCTGACTGCCATTGCGATGTCTTTGGGATTAACATCTCAGCGCGTAAACAATTTGTAAATAAAAAGCTCTATCAAATGATGGCCATGGGAGGGCAAGTGGGAGGGGATAGCCGTGTGTGCCCGTGTGTGGGGAGCGACAGGCGATAGGCGACATGCACTTATGGCCAGCTCCAGTCCCCATCTCTTGGCTCCCTCTCCAAAGTCGGTTAATAACTGCTGACCAATTTGGCAGCCTGGACAGGAGTCACTGAACTTGAGTGGAAATCAATTCAGTTTTGGCATTTGTTTTCCTCCCCCCGTTTCGGGGAAATTGAGCCCCTCTTTTGGCATTCAACCCGAGCCGGCGGCTAAATGGACAGGTGGGCGGACGGCGGTAGCCGCAGACAGGAAAAGGAAGGGGGCCTAGGCGTATACGCAATGAGAGGGCTAATACTGCTACTGTTACTACTGGTTGTTTTCTTAGTTAGTTTCTGCTTTCCGACTGGCGCTTGTCGCAATAGAATTGCAAATATTTCCAAACGATTAAAATGCTTGATAATTGCTAAATTAAAACGCGGTGGGAGCCCCGTCGAAGTCGAAGTCGCAGTCGCACTAACAAATACAGATACAGATACACTCGCAGTTCCAGTTAGCTACTGCTGCAATAGTCAGAGCCGGAGACTAGGCTGGGGATACTGCTTCAGCCTCCGACTTAGACTCGGACCCAGACTCGGACGCGGCGACTTAGTTCCAAGCATTTGCCTGAGATTGCCGAGTAAGTGATTAAAACTAAGTGTCATAAATAAATAAATGCATAAATTATTCTTTTTGAAAAAAGTACAAGCGGACAGTGAGCGAACTTGGTGGCGGCTAGGCGGCGGAAAGGGATGGCGATATTCCGGGCAATGGCGACGGTGACGGGGACGGGGACGGGGACTGTGACGCTTGCTGAATAATTTGCGTTTTGCTTGCAATTGAAAATAAATCAGAAATTAATTCTTAGCACACAGATACTCCGTCTGGCACACAGATACACACACACGCGTTTAGAGAGAGTGAGAGAGGACTTGCGGGCATCTGCTATCTCTGTTTGCCACACGAAAGTGTCGCGCTATGTATTTTTGTTGCTTTTTTTTCTTTTTTTTTTTAATTGAGGCGGCGCTCGGAGTAAACAAAATGGAAGTACGGGAAAAACACACACACAGATAGAAGTAAACAAGTCAAATTTCTAAAGTGTGGACTGCGGAATACCCTGTTCATAGAGCACCCCTGGCAGAACAGTGAGTAGGGCAAGATACATCTACATTGTCTCTATGAATGTCCTACATACCCTTGTGCCTGCACACGGGTACAGGGTACAGTGTACAAAGGGGAGCACATCCATAACGAGGATTGGCATAGAATTGAGATCTGTGGATCTGCGGAGATCTGAGAGCAGAACTTACCTTGGCGGAGCTCTCCAGCGGATTCCAGTAAACGGCGATGGCATTGTGCGACACTTCCTCGATGCAGCCAACCAGGCCAACCGAGTTCTTCGTATCTGCAAAAGAGGAGCAAAACAAGAAGATGGTTAGTAGGGGACAAAAAGAAGAAGCAAAAACAGAGAAACAGATGAAGCAGATGAGGAATCAGAAATGCGGCAAGATGGGGCAAACACAGAGGAGGCTCTGGAAAATATGTTTGTATTAACAATTAAGGAAATTTCTGCGCTGCCGTCCAGTGACAAGTGCCTAATGAGTTATGTTTGATGGCCAAGGCACTGCGTGGCAGCAGCGGCAGCAGAAGCATCTGCCACGGATGCCGCTCTTGCTGCAACCAAGATTATCTGCAATCAAACAAACGGAGCGGAGTGGTGCCCCAGCCGCAGTGGCAGTCGCAGCTGAATGCGCGTTTATCAATGTCATAACTCTCCTGGAACGGTGCGGGCCTTTCAATAAAAAGCAACAATTTACTGCTAGAAATACTAGACAATACAAATGGACACTCTGCCACGGAACGCTGCTGGACTTCGCATTGGCTTTGGGTTGGGAATGGGGCTTGCAGTTGGGGCTGGGATTGGGACTTGGATTGGGGATGGGGCTTCAGTTGGTTATTCGTTTGGTTGGTTTTACGCACCTGCATCCAAGATTCTTTGCTTTACGGAATGCTGGCGACTGTGCCAGAATTGCCAGGCCTTGATCTCATCTTCGGGGCTCTTCTCCTCGCGGAACATGAGCATGATCACACTCTGAAAATATAACGACACAATTAAGGAACACAAATTTTAATTAACCAAAGTAAAATATCAGCTAAGATTGAACAATGATAGACTTTTTTGATAGTTCTTTAGTCCCGGAATGAATTGGTTTGAACTAAGGTTAGTTAAGAGGATTCCCAAGGATTAAAGCAAAGACAAACAAACTCTCTATCTCTTATTCTCTATGTACAAATCATATTCGAAAAATATCTCTTTTTCAAATACAACCGTTTCTCTTTATCCGAAAAACAAGCAGCCAAAAGATTGATCTCTATCTCCAAGGATACGCCATGTCTGTACGCAGGACTCATCTGTAATCCGTTTATACTATCCCATAGATGGGCACCGTTTCTGCTTGGGTTCTCTGCCTGCTCTCTCTCAGTGTTTCTCACTGACATATATACGTTGTGACACTCCACTCACAACTCGTCGGATCGCACCCTACGCCTCAAAAGTCAAAAGGATTAGACCCCGGCGCACAAAAGGACGAACTCGATTTAGCAGAAAAATGTCCAACACATTTTGTATCATCTTTTTGGCTGGCTGCTTCGCTGCTCCGCTGTTCCAACGTTGTTTTCCCAGCATTTGCATTTTCTTTCTATCATTTATGTGTTTTTATTTTTTAGATTTTGAATAATTAGTTGCTTCTTCCTCTGGGAGGGAGGAAGCGCAGAGATACTGAAACAGTACCCAAAAATCAAGGAGACAATAGCCGGAATGGCGAGCAACCCCTTTGAGGATCGTATCGGATCATCGTCCTAGTCTTCGGGAAGGAGACGGAGATGGAGAAGGAGGTATGGGGTGCACGGCACTGAAAACTGATTACAGCATAAATATTTTTGTGTGTTTTCTTCGGGTCCCCGGGATGTCTTTTACGTTTTTACATATTCATGGGCTAATCAGCTCGTAAATTATACTCGCTTTTTCTTTGGATTTCGTGCTCTTTTTTCCCCGCTAGAAAAATGGACATCAGACAGCAAGACGATGGGTTATATGCAAATGTCTATACGGTTAAAAGTATTTTTTTTATTCTGTTCGGTTCATTTAGGTTTTCATTTTCGTTTAGGTTTGAAAGTTTTCTTTCTCGGGGAAAAGGGCGCGGTGCTCTAAACAAATAAACTCGTAAATTAATTTTGACACTTTTTTGTCGAGCCTTGCAAAATATGGCACTTTTATGGTAATACGAGATAGACGGAGAAGGAGATCTGAGATCCGATCTGAGGCAGAGACAAGAGAGAGGTGAAGCTCAGGAGTACATATCTCAGGAGATCTTTTCGTTTCATTTGGTTTCGTTTGGTTTCTACAAAGTTTTTTGTTGCAAGTTTCCTTCTATGCGTATGCAAATGGCAAAGGCTTTGGCTACGGATTCAGATTCGGATTCAGATTCAGATTCCTTCGAATTCAATTGTTGTTTACTTAACCTCCGCTGCCACTGCCACTGCCACTGCCACTTCCCCATCCGCATCCGCATCCACTTCCGAATCTGCCGGCATTTCCTCAACCCATTTACCACTTTCCTCAACTGTAACTTTGAGATGTCATTCTTTGGGCTCTCAACGGTTCAGTTTACAATTTGCATTTGCATTTCAGTGCGGCTCGAGGACGCAGACGCAGACGCAGACGTCATTTAAGCTTATCTGATTGATGATGTTGATGGGTATTGTCCTGGTCCTGCTCCTACTCCTTGTTCTACTACTTCTCAGGCTTCTTCTCTACGTACTCGTCCTGAACAAACATTGACGCGGCAGAATGCGAGTGAATTGCTGTTGAAAGGCAGAGGACTTTCAGCAATTTGCATTGAACGAAATATTCAAATTCTCATCAGGCAGAGGGATCGGATCGCTCTGGATCGCTCTCTCTCTCTCTCCCAGTATCATTTATCATCGGACTGTGTGCCCCTAAGCAGGATATAGGATGTGTGTAATTGAGCAAAGGGGTGGCGAAGCTGACAAACTCTATTAGAGCTCCGATCGCACCTCGGGGTAGGACGGAGACGGAGACGGAGACGTCGACCAAGATCCAGACACACAGACGAGGCACAGATTCCCTGACAAATAGCCTACCCTAAGGCCCAAATGGGGTTGGGCTGGAGAAATCTTGCAGTGGTCCTGTTCTGTTTCCGTTCTTGTTTCTTGTTCCTTGTTTCTGTGGTGTTGATGGCATAAACAAAGCCGGCAATGAATGGAAAACCAGCAGCACGGACTCCTGATTGACAAAGCTCCAAACACAAGCCTCGGGCTCAAGCCTCCAGCCCCCTCCTTATGCGAGCACAGAACACTCGTACAGATGTAGAAATGTGCGTGGCACCTACCTTAACCGTCGTGTTCTTGATGGGCTTATCCGCATCGTGCACATACTCCAGCGTGATCCCGTAGAACTGGCCCTTGTTGATGTAGGTGATGCGATCGTCCTCGCGCCTCTGCGACGAGCTGATGGGGCTCTCCAGGTGATATCGGAAGCCAACATTTGTGAATCTATACAAAAAGGGGAGGCAAGAAAAGCAGATCGAGGTGGTTAGGATGATTCGGGAATAGAAATAAGGGTTAAGCTGCCTGCAATCAAATTTTCGGTAGATTGAAATTAATTTGAAAATATTTCAAAGGTCCAGTAAATCTACAGCCCCTAAAGATGTTCGGCAATTGATTGGAAGGTATCTCTCAGTTTCTTGGTCTATAGATTCCCTTCGTTAGATGCTGAATCGATGTCCGTTTTGGAGGATAATTTCTACATTTAGCAGCTTAATATTTCATTTTAAATGTACTTTTCTTTAGGTATAGTCTTGGAAAAACTTACATTTTTGGTATTTGTATTTTATCGGCATCGTTCTGGCGGCCAAAGTCGTGCCAGGGCCGCGAACGCGTCGAACCGTTTGTGCTCGTGTCCACCAGGGAGGTGGTGGGACTGTTCTGGCTGCCATGGACCACTGTCCGCTGCTGGATGCTGTTCACGGACACGGGTATGCTGCCATTGGCATCGATGAGGGTGCCCGGCTGGCACAGTTCCGTGTAATCGAAGGACTGGAAGATGGTGCAGGATTAGTAAATTATTATCGTAGCCATATTATATGTAGGTACTATATGCTAAGCTATTGTTTATGTTTAAGTTACAGTTGCTAAATAACAGTTAAGTAATGGACACGCCACGCATTAGTGAAACCTCATTGTCTACTCTTTGGGTCCCCCAAGTTCTGTTGGGTTTGTTTTGGGGGGAAGGACATTCTGGGGGATGTACCTGCTGTATGTTGGTCTGATCCCGCGGCGTAATGGCGTCCGTGCCGATGCCCGAGTCGGGACTGGGCAGATCCACGGTGAGTCCCGCCGCCGTGATGGCCTTGGCATAGAGTGGCGTCCCGCCGCCGCCCTTGCCGTCCTGCGGGTGATGGTGTTGCTGCTGCTGCTGTGGCTGCTGTTGGTGGAGGTGCTGCTGGTGTTGGGGCTGTTGCTGTTGCTGTTGCTGCTGCTGCTGCTGCTGGTGGTGCACGCTGACGCTGCTCGTTAGCAGCGTGGTTGTGGTGGGCGGGGGGGCGTTGCCGGTGAAGCGGCCCTCGTAGGTGACCACTCCGCCCGGCTGAGACACCGAAACGTCCACGTCTCCGTAGATGGTGCGCGTGGAGGCGGGCACGTAGCCGCCCTGTCCGTCCGGCGCGAAGTACTCGCGGTAGTAGGGCTCCGCTATGAAGGTGGTGGCGGTGGTGGGCGGGGGGCCGGGCGGCAGTCGGCTGGCCGTGTACATCCCATAGTCGTTGGCGGTTATGTACGGCCCCGGACTGGGGCTCTGTGCCTGCAGCGATCCGGCTCCTCCAGATCCACCCCCGCCGCCGCCGCCGCCGCCGCCTCCTCCCGCGCCGCTGGCCGTGCTGGGATGTGAGGTCTGCAGGTGGTTTGGAGTGTTGGTTGGGGTTCTGGATGCGGCACCACCTCTCACTCCTCTGTCACTCACCTGTAGGTAAATCTGTGTGCCGCCCGTGGTAGCATACATCTCTAGTTCGGTAGCAGGACTACTACTGCTGCTGCTGGTGGTTCTGGTTCTGGTTGTGGTTGTGGTACTGATCGTGCAGGTTGTGCTGCTGGGTCTGTGGCTAATCTCGCTAATCTCAGCTTCGTCGGCTGGTGGCGATGCATCCACGTGCAAGATCTGAGGGAAATGTGCGTTTGGTTGTTGGTTTCTTTTTGGTAGGGAGAATTCTTAACACTAAAATGCTTGATTGGGTGGTGGGGTGGTGTTGGTGTTGGTGTTGGTGCTAGTGCTAGTGCTGCTGATGGATCGATTCCCAGTCGAGAGCTAGCTCCGAGCATTCTGGCATTGTATTGTTGTGGCTAATGGCCAAGCATTTTTCATGATTGATGACTATGGCTATGGGGCCCGACAAGGTCACAGCCGGAGACAGAGTCCAACTCCGATTACGACTCCGATTCCGAGACCGATTTGGACCCAAAACGAGGTGAGGTGACAAAATTGTGCGTATATCGTGCACGTTCTTTGACTTTTCTTTGGGCCATGATTCATGCAGCAGCCGCGTAAACAGCTTATTGAAAATAACGTCAACAAGTACAGTTTATAATAAAAGGCCATAAAAAAAGGCAAATACGAGGCACAAATGAAACACCGTCGCCGTCGTCTTTTGTCGCTGTTGTCGTCGAGCGGACCGGAGCGGAGTGGAGTGGAAAGAAACCAATTAAAAAACAAAAAAAAAGAGAAAAAACACCGAAAAAAGCGCGAAAAAAAATCAAAATTTATATACAAAATACACACATAAACAGATATATATTATATATGGATGTATACATATATAGTATATAGAGAGATATATGCATATATGTTAATTATCATTGTATTTTGTTGTTGTTGCTTTTTATTGGTCGCCCGAAAATGTCAAACGTTTTGGAGACTAACCGCAGCGCAGCCTCAAATGAGGTAATACAGAGCAAAAAGTGTGGTGTCCACCGATCCACCGATCCACCGCTGATATATACGATTATATGTTGGGTTAGAGATGGGCTTAGACTGGGTTTAGACTGGGCTTAGACTGGGCCTGGGTCTCAAATCAAAATTAGCAGCTGCCTGACGATTGTCATTTGGTCTAAAGAAAGTGAAACCCCCCTCATTTCTTGGCCTTTGATCAAACCGGTTGCCTGAGCCTAAGGCCCGGGCCCAAGTCATGGGCCTGGTCTCTTTTTGTTGGTCCAATTTCAGTTACACTTTTCGGCCAAATATTGGACACATGTGAATTGGGGGGGACTTTGGGCAAAGAACCTTTGTAACAATTTGTGGTATTTCGAGAAACCACAATTTTCGTTGCCTTTTTGTGCGTCTTTCAAATTTAAATTTATACAGAGGCTGGCTTTTGTGGCGGTGGGGCTCTATGGCTCTGTGGCTCAGTGGCTCAGTGTCTCTGTGTTTTATTTTTTTCGGCTCGGAGCTCGCCTCGAAGCCTCTTGTATAATTTAGCATCGGTAAAAGATTCTAGCTGCGAGCTAATTAAATTTGTTCATCAAAATCAATTTGCATTTTAAGCTTTTAACGTGCAACGTCAGAGAAGGCCTTGACGCGGCCGATCGACCAGCGATCGGAATGGATCGGAATGGATCGGATTGGATCGATACACCAGCAGCAGGCAAAGATTTCATTTTCATTGCTTTTGGCTCTGCTCTTCTTTGTGGTGTATCTGTATCTTCTCTGTATCTGTATCTGTATCTGGGTATGGGTGTGGAGATGGAGATGGGACATGGGACACAGGGGGGAGGTCATACGAGTAGCTGTCTTCTACCTATATCCGAATACGACTACGACTACGACTAAATATTGTAGCTATCGGTTATGAGGCCTTTAGAATTATGCTAAGCAGCGGCGACAAACGTCAAGCGGTGGTTCTGGCACATATTTATGCATGAGGAAGAAATAAAAAGCAGCGACAAAATGGTGTACAAAACCACACACACAAAACAAAGGAAAAACAAAAAAAAAAATAACAAAATATTTAAATAAAGCCAATTAACTATTTTAATGCCTTTTGGAATGATAAAAAGTGAAACTTTTTTTCCTCCTCTTCTTCCTACAGTCCAGCGTTTTATGAATATCGTTAATTCTCGGAAATAAACCCGAACGAAAAACAACAAAAAACAGAGAAAAACAAAAATTGATATACAAAAAAAAAAGATTGTTTTGTATAAAGTTGAATACTTAAATTGTTCTGTTCGTTGATATTGTAATTGAGGTTCTAGCAAAGAAAAACCCATGACTAAAGGCCCTCAAGAAATGTGAGATCAAGTGCTCTGATTTTTAAATACATTTCGAAGAATTTCGGATGGTATTCAAACTTTTGAGGTTACCAATCAATAGAGCAATGATATTTGCTTTTAGACTTTTCAGAATTTTAACACTACTACTACTCATATGTCGTATTTCCATTAGTTAGATTATTGTTCATTTGCGAGTATTGCTATATCTTTCAATCATTCCACATTAATGGATTTGTTATTCAAATTTCTGGGCGGTTTTGTACCTATATTTCCATTAATAAATGCTTAGAGGAAATCGAAGCTGAGTTCCATTTGGTATAGGCAGAAATTTAATAAAGAACTGAAATATTTGATTTGATTCGATTTCAAGTGTGATTCAGCATGATCTTCTGGTCAGAATTCCATATTAAAGAGACGACTTTAGTTCAAGAAATTTAGTAAGTAAAACTATTTTCCATTTGCACAGAGAGAGAGAGAAATGTCTACAGTGAATCACTGATAAGTCAGAGGATAGATAGCCGAGCAATTAGAAAGGCAAATTGGTTCGTATTTGGCAGGGAGATATCCCCAAGGAGAGAGAAAGAGAGAAGGAGAGTGCGTTGTTAATCAAAGATCTCAATTTGTCTCTGTTTGCGGGTCTAATGATTACACTTTCCGGTGCACAGACGGTCGGTCGAACGTATGGAGGGCAATAAATTGCCAAGAGTAAAAATAAAAAATAAAATCAATTTTTTTCTCTCCGATTCTGTGCCATAAATTAAGTTCGAGCGAAACCTTAGACTTTAAACTATGCAATTGTGTGTGTGCATGTGTGTATGTAAATTAATAAGACAAATATTAAGAATAATTAACTGTCAATGCGAAAAGTGTACGATAAATTAGATTGCACCGCAATTTAATATTTATTTTCGCATTTCGAGTTCGTATTCCCCACTGTGAGCCGATGGTTGCGGAGGGGGTGTGGGGGTAACACCTGAAGAGAGCAATTAAGATTCTGCTCAATGAATTTTCTGAACCACACACACACACATGTGCACACTCACACACTCCCGCCCCAACCGAAAATCATTGAATCGAGGCGATAAAAGTCCAACTAAAACCACTGTTCGTTCTTGTTCTCCGTCTCCATCTCCATCTCCATCGCTATCCCACTCTTTCTCTCGCTTTGGCGGGCCGCAATTGCGCGCCAAACAAAAGACTTTGGCTACGAACTTGTTCGCTGTGTGGGTGTTGAAAGGCAACGCGTTGCGAGTGAGCTCCAGCTGGTGGCACTGCACGCCCACACACAGGTATGACGCTGTGGTTGTTGCTGTTGTTGCCCCTGTTGCTCTGCGCGTGTGCGTTCGTTCAATTTGTTGTTGCTGTTTGTTTGATTCATTGATTGTTGTTTTGTTGTTTGTGGCGCACGTTTTGGATTGCAGGTGGATTGGGGGATACGATCCCATTCGATACGATAGGGTATGGTATGGTATGGTATGGTATGGTATGGTATGGCATTACTCTCGACTGCAGCCGGGGCAGCAGCAGCGGCAGCCCACACATTCCAATCAAGCGGCACTCATAACTACAATAACTATATGTGTATCACATGTATCATGTATCACACAATATGCAAATGGAAGCATATCCAATTCGGTCACAGAACTCACACAAATGCACAATGCTCACTGCGGCTCACTCGATCGATTCGCACTTACAGTCGAGAACAATATCGTAGCGTACTGATCCGCTGCGATCCACTGTTGCAATCACAGGGTGATAGATACCGATACACGATCACGGATTACGTTTGTGCGATTGCACGGTCTTGCGCGGACGAAACATACGCGAGCGGTGCTGCTCAAAAATCAGACGAATCGAAAACGATCCTACTCCGACAGCGTGATACGAATGAATGACGCCGTGTGGTTGAGGCTGAGGCTGAGGGGCCAGGTAAGACCAGGTATGACAGCGTCGACGTCGGGCTCTGCTGACAGCACACACTCACACACACACGCACACTCGAGCGCCTGGTTGCGTCGGCCAGTTGGACCAGCGATCGTGCCTACTCACTCACACTTGGGCACAAAGCTCATATCAGTTCAAAATGGTTGGAATCTGTAGCTGTCGCAATATTCTGACATGTAAAAGGGAGGGGTGGAGTGGGGACGGGTGGCCGGACAGGGCGTTGCAAGCAATAAGCAGTAGAAGAAGTTGTTGCTGCACTTGCACCATTCATTGATCCAAATCCGATCGCAGGAAGAGCGCAAACAAGAAAGATAGTCGAAGGGGTAGTGGTACAGGGAGCCCCGAAGCCGGAGCCGGAGCCCCAGCCACCGGAAGTGTACACTTATCCCCCAGCGATTGTCGCCCTGAGTTTTGCTACTGCAATTTCCCACAGTGCAGAATTGTTGTCGTTGCTGTTGCTTTTGCTTTTGCTGTGGCTATTGCAAGACATTTAATTACGGTTTACTACTTCTGCTGTCCACTCTGCTCTGCTCCTTTGCACTGATAAACCGTTCGAACACACAACATGCAACTCGAACATGCGAAAGGAAACGCTTCGAACATGAGCGAGCCACTGCTATGGCCAATCAGTGTGAGTGCAAGCGAGAAGACTATACAAATCACATACGCACACACACACACACACACACACCACACATAAACACAGAGTGAGAGAGACTTGAAACGTCGCGATCGTATAACAAGAAGCGTGTATAACAGTTTCAATGCAAGCATTGCTTTGCCCGAGATCTGTGTAGTTGTTTTTCTTGTTGTTGTTGCTGCTGCTGCTGTCTCATTGCTTTCAATAGAACCGAACGACAACGATTCGTATTGGCTGCAACCACTAACACTCATTGCTCTCACTCACACTCACTCACACCAGCAATTGACAGACCAATTGCAAGTCTGTTAGACAGGCAGCAAGCAACTACAACTACAACTACAACTACAACCGAAGCCACAACAAGGCGGCGGCGGTGGTGGGCTAATTGATGTGGATGCGCCACTGTGGATGGGTTGGGATGGGATGAATTGGATGGCTAATTGTGAATGGGAGCGGGTCTGGCATATGGAATGGTATACTATCTATGTTCTGTTTCGAGGTTTGCGTGCGTGTCCTTTAACTGTTCCCTGAACAAACAAACAAATAACAGATCTTAATTCGAAGGATATGTCTTACCTTTTGCGTTATGACCGAACCCGCGCCGCCGTTCGCTGCCGCCGCTCCGGCAATGTTACCGTTCTTCGGATCCTTGCGCAGATCCTCCGGCTCTCTTTTGATGGTGATCAGCTGCTGCTGCTGCTGCTGTTGTTGCTGTTGCTGCTGTTGCACCGCCGTCGAGACAATGGAGCCTGCACTCCCCACGCCTGCGGCACTCACAATGTCCCCGGGATGCTGCTGCTGCTGTTGTTGTTGCTGTTGCTGTTGCTGCTGCTGCTGTTGCTGCTGGTGGTGCTGCGAGATTGTGGTGGTGGAGACAACGCCAGTGGTGCTGACCGAGGCCGATGACGAGGGGTGGGAGCCGAGCAGAAAGCCTTGGATCTCATTCTGCGATAGGCCCGAGACATCGATGGGTGTGGTCTGGCCATTGAGCTTTCCACTGCTGTCCAGAAAGGGAGAGAGAGAGAGAGGGTAGACAGAGAGAGAGAGAGCGGCATTATGCATTAGTTAATGGTTGATAAATGATTTAAATCTAGGAATATTAAACTGACACCCCCTCCACCCGATTGACACCCCCACAAGCAGAATCAGCGCTTATCAATCAGAATCAGCGACACCGCAATCAGTGCAGCAATCACACATGAAATCACACATGCAATCACAATCAAGCCGCAGCAAGTGCAACAAGGCTAATTTCATTCACATCTAGAACAACAACAACAACAACAACAAAAGCCAACTCCTGCGGCAGACACCTGTGCGCAAGCCAAGCTGAAGCCTGGATCTGGATGGGGATGGTGTACCTGCCTCGCCCAAATGGGAGCAATCCCAACTATAATCACGCATGCAACAACACCACACTGGCACTGGCACTGGCACTGGCACTCGTACATATAAACCAGATTCCAGCCTGCTGCGGCGGCAAGTGCTCGGCCCAGCAACAACAAACAACCACCAGAAACAACAACTACAACATCCATCCAGAACCAAAACAACTTTTGGCCAGCATCCCAGCCAACCAGCCAGCCAGCCAGCCAGCAATTGGCAACAAACGAGAAACGAGAAAACGAGGGCTAGTTCCCAACCGAAGCATTAGATACCCTGGCAGATCGTTACCATATGATATAGTCAACAGATTTTGATCAAATTTAACAGAAGTACGAGGAAGTACTTGAGAAGACTGACTGTTAAGTTTGATTAGGGCAAGAGATCCAAAGATCTATACAGAATACAAATGTGTGGGATATTTAAATAAAAAACTGTAGAAAATAAACAGCCAGGCTTCCAATGGCAGTTATGCTGATTCTGATCAAGAATATACACATACATATACCTTCTGCTAGGGTATACGAGCAAATAATCCCATTGAAGGGAAACAGAATGGAGAGAAATTCAAAAGGAAACAGACTCAAAGGGATCGGCATTCCCCACAGACCGCAAGAGTCCCCTTACCCCAACGATTCTCTTATCGATCGCCTTATCGCATACACCTCTAGGAACAGTCATAAATTAGGCACCACGATCGCCTGGGTCCATGCTATAATCGAATATTGATAACTTTTGGCGTTTTGCCAGAGTAACAAAAACAGAAACAGAAACAAAGACACAGACACAGAGGGGGAGAGGGAGAGGGAGAGAGGTTGAGATAGAGAGACACACAAGGAGACAGGAGACATGCCACCAAGGTCACCCAAAAGCAAAGTCCTTGCAGCTGGCAACTGGTAAACCGGATCTGGTCGAGGCATTACTTCCCCGTCTTTCGGCGACACAATTAAAGCGCTTTGAGGGAAACTCTGGCCCAACACGCACAAAAAAGGCCAACCAAAAAGTGTTCTCTTGGATGACCAGATGGAACATACATATGTACATATTTACTCTTAGAAATGGGTTCCATTCAAAGCTTAGAAAAAACTACAGTCTCCGTTTCATCAATGAAAGATCTTCCACTTCAACAGTATTTGTCCTGAAGATTATTATCCAACCAAAACTTATTGAAATTAAGTATGGATCTCCAACAGCTATCGTTATTTCGATGGACTTTTTTGGACTGGTTTCCATGAATTGATTGTTCTTCTAGCATTAATCCTTCACAAGACTCTTAGTCCTGTTTCTTTAAGCCATCTGTACAGCGGTGAAGACTTTATATAGAACTACTGTATGTACTACTTTATTAATAGATGCACATGGATATGCACATCTCATCTTCTCCAAGAAATTCGATATGGAAATTCTGATAGAAAGTCGAAAATTTGTTTAAATTTGTCGAATTTGGAAATCTCTTGGGTCCGAGCCACACCTTTAAACACGTCTACCGATTTGTCCGTATCAGTGACTGCTGTCCGCTGTCCGCTGTCCGCTGACCGCTGTCCGTTGTCTTCCGTTAGCAGCTGTTGCAAGAGAGTTCTGCGTTTTTCCCTCCGCTTTTTTTTCGGTATTTTGTTCTTGGTTTTTTTTGGCATTGCTCAACGTTGACAACGGCCGCGGCAGAGATTGCGATCGCTTACGCTCTTGCCCCATTTTGTGGCACTTGGCGTGTTGCCGCAGCCAAGTCTCCCTCTGCGGCCTGCCTGCCAGCGAGTGTCCCGGTTTCACCCGAAGTTGTTTCTGTTTTCGGTTTGTTTTTTGTTCTCGCTCTCCACAACGGACATCGACATGGGTATAGCGCTGAGAGCAACAACAGCACAAAAACGAAACAGAAAAAAAAGATTGTTTTGGCTTTTTTACGAGTATGTTCTGCAGAACATTTTCGCTATTAAAAGTGACACTCTGATCCCCGCCCCCCGCCCGGATACCGCTTTCCGGCAGCTCCATAACATTTTTTCGTAATGCGATATGTGACCGATGTCGCTGCTGTCCGATGCTGGCCCCTGCGCTGCCCGTCCGCTCGCCGCTTTAGGGTCAGAGCCGTGTAACGCACGTAGCGGTTACGGGGAAGCGCGAAAAAGTAACAACACACACATTTATTAGACACACAAAGTGCTACTCATATCTTTGTTCTTCATTGTTTTAAGTATTTCCGTGGCTACAGTGCTCTCCGCCTAGAGAGAACCAATTAAAAATCAAGTGGTTCTTAGGGAAAGAATTATTAAAAGGAAGATCTTTTCTGGGAATATCTTTTATGCAATATAGGGATGTAGAATATGTTGTTCTCCACTATTTCGAGTGTCTACTGTAGCTATATTTTAATTGTGTTTCTAAGCCAAGTGTTCGGACGGTCGACCTTTTCCAGGCCCCCGAACTGTATTACGGTTACGGTTTCATCATGGCCCTATAAAACTGAAAAACAGAACTGAATCGCGTTCGGATGTTCCGTGCTTGTGTTTTTCATAACCCGCGAGGCGACGTGCCGCATGTGGCAGATTTCCAGGGAAAATGGCCAGCCAGGCCAACAACAATCGACGGCTTGGGGACTTACCTCCACAGCATTTCTGCCCCATGGGGATCGTTGTTGTTGTTGTTGTTGGTCTCCTTTGAGGCCTCGTGGCTCTGCTGGCGGTAGTAGCTGTAGATGGGATATGGCCCTGGACTGGCGATGGCTTGTGGGGCAGGATGGTGCTGATGCTGCTCCTCGTTCAGCAGGAGGCCAGCTGGGGTAAGGCCAGACTGCGGGTGATGCTCCTGGTGCTCTTGGTGGGGCAGTGGCAGTGGCGGTGGCAGGGACAAACTTAAGCCATGATCCTGGTAGTGCGGATGGGGATGCGAATGGAGCTGCTGCTCCAGGTGTTCGCTTTGCCCTATAGCCGGATGCAGGGAGTCCAGGCTGAAGCCGCGGCTGTCGAGCAGGGATGATGGTGGGTGGGGGAGGGGAATGGGGTGTATTACAACAGGGTCCAAGCCAAGACGAGGCGTGGCAGCCCCAGACAGACAACGCCCATGTGCGTGCATTGGTTTTTGGCAATCGATGGCATGGAAATCGGAGTCGGAGTCGGAGATGCGGCATCATTAGCATTTCCATTTCTATTTTGGTTTTTATTTATTTGTATATTTACATAATCAATTTTTGGACGCCTGAGAGCCAGGTGCGTCCCATTGTATCAGTGTGTGTGTGCCTGTATCTGTATCTTACGGATATGTAAGCTTTGCGGCAACGCTTTTTACTGCTTTCGGCTTTTGGAATTGATTCGTTTAGCGCTATTAGCGCCATTCGATGGACATACTCGTATGAACAAAAAATACCCACAAAAAAAGCGTAAATTTTTTGTTAACACTCTGCCCGCCGGTCCCCCCTCAAAGCTAACCCCTCTTCGGGGCACTGCAAGTGGTCCATTCACTAATTATTTATTTCCCATGAAGCTTTGCCTTCCCCTCCCTTCCGGTACCCCTTGAGGAGGCCGCTAAGTGCACGGCTGGCGGATGGTGAGCCCGTGATTAGGCCAACACTTGGGCCACGCCCCTTGAGTACTTGGGCCGCCCCCCCTGTGGCGCCGTTCGATTGTGCAACAAGTAGCAAACATTTTGGCAAAACAAAAGCACACAATGACAGCCCCTAGTGGCGGTCCTGCGGCGCCTCTGCCACCTGAATCGGGGTGGCACGCAGATTGCGAATATCAGGAGGAGGAACAGGAGGCTGCAACTGTGGTCGCAGAGCGAGAAAGAGAGGGAGAGAGAGAGAGAGAGAGAGCCTGGGAAGTGCTGGCCCAGGGCAAGGTGATCCGCTCGGACCGAGAGCCGAGAGCCGAGTTCCGTGGAACCGGTTCGAGCAGCTGCATGCCACAGCTAATCCCAGGCGCGGACCGCGGAGTGGTGCAGAGCGATGCAGAGCGTTGCGGTGCGGCCGTAACGGTTAAGGCAATCATTATTGATATTAGGAACCTCTTTCCCGGATCCCAGACAACGGGAAGAATCAGAGAGACACAGAGACAGCTTGCTCGGACACCGTCCAGGAGGAAGGGGGAGAGATCTTCTGCCCCTTCCTCAACGCAATACCCGAACAAAGCCCCTCATTTGCATAATGCTTTCAGCCAGGCATCTACAAAAAGGATTCAAGATTCGTTCGGGATTGACGGCAACGGACCGCGGACCGAGGACCGAGGACCACTAAGGATCGCAGACTGCGGACCGCACCGATGGACTCTGGCCTGCCTCGTCTGCGTCGCCTGTCTCAGAGGCATTTGCCACGGTCGAGTGAATGCTCCTTTTTGTCATTGTCTCTCGACGTTGGACATCGCACCTCATTCAGCGTGCAACCCATTCAGAGGGTCCTGTGTCCGACTGTGTCTTCTGCTTGTGCGCAACCCCTTTCTGGGCAGCGTCCTGCGCCGTGATTTGCATAAAGGCGGACAAGGACGACTTAGGTAAGGCTTTCAACCCCCTTTTACGGATGAGGCGCAGCAAAGCTGCAGATGCTCCGGGACCACGAGATTGATTGAGATTCGAGTCCGTGGGCAAACAGAAAAAAGAATAACAGAAAACAGAAGCCAAAGGGCCAGTAGGTCCATT